ATGTGGGTACCCATAGCAGTGCCGCTGATTTGAAGGTATACATTGTCCCCAAATGTAAAATAGTTATGGGTAAGGACAGTCACAAAGTTCAGCCACCAGGTTAGCCGTGACATTATCGGGGATAGTGCTCTTGATGTCTTGTAGTCCATCTTTGTGTGGAATGTTGGTGCAGAGGGCTTCTGCATCCATAGTGGCCAGGATGGTGTTATCAGGAAGATCACCGATGGATTGTAGTTTCCTCAGGAAGTCAGTGGTGTCTCAAAGGTAGCTGTGAGTGCTGGTAGCGTAGGGCCTGAGGAGGGAGTCTACATAGCCAGACAATCCTGCTGTCAGGGTGCCAATGCCCGAGACGATAGGACGCCCAGGATTTTCAGGTTTATGGATCTTGGGTAGAAGATAGAATATCCCAGGTCGGGGTTCCAGGGGTGTGTCTGTGCGGATTTGATCTTGTGCTTTTTCAGGGAGTTTCTTGAGCAAATGCTGTAGTTTCTTTTGGTAACTCTCAGTGGGATCAGAGGGTAATGGCTTGTAGAAAGTGGTGTTGGAGAGCTGCCGAGCAGCCTCTTGTTCATATTCTGACCTATTCATGATGACAACAGCATCTCCTTTGTCAGCCTTTTTGATTATGATGTCAGAGTTGTTTCTGAGGCTGTGGATGGCATTGTGTTCCGCACGGCTGAGGTTATGGGGCAAGTGATGCTGCTTTTCCACAATTTCAGCCCGTGCATGTCGGCAGAAGCACTCTATGTAGAAGTCCAGTCTGATGTCTCGACCTTCAGGAGGAGTCCACCTAGAATCCTTCTTTTTGTAGTGTTGGTAGGGAGGTCTCTGTGGATTAGTATGTTGTTCAGAGGTATGTTGGAAATATTCCTTGAGTCGGAGACGTCAAAAATAGGATTCTAGGTCACCACAGAACTGTATCATGTTCATGGGGGTGAAGGGGCAGAAGGAGAGGCCCCGAGATAGGACAGCTGCTTCTGCTGGGCTAAGAGTATAGTTGGATAGGTTAACAATATTGCTGGGTGGGTTGAGGGAACCATTCCTGTGGCCCCTTGTGGCATGTAGTAGTTTAGAAAGCAACCTTTGTTGTAAAAGTGCAACTTACAAATGTAGATTTTTGTTACATAACTGCACTCAAATGCAAAATGTAAAACTTCAGAGCCTATAAGTCCACTCAGTCCTACTTCTCCTTCAGCCAATTGCTAAGACGAACAAAGTTGTTTACATTTACAGGAGATAATGCTGGCCTTTTATTTACAATGTCATCAGAAAGTGAGAACAGGCATTTGCATGACACTTTTGTGGCTGGCATTGCAAGATATTTACATGCCAGATATGCTAAACATGCATATGCCCCATCATGTTTTGGCCACCATTCCAGAGGACATGCTTCCATGCTGATGATGCTCATTTAAAAAAAAATGCATTAATTAAATTTGTGACTGAACTCCTTGGAAGAGAATTGTATGATTCCTGCTCTGTTTTCATGTTATAGCAGTCTCGCATGATGACCTAGCACATGTTCATTTTAAGAACACTTTTACTGCAGATTTCACAAAACGCGAAGAAAGTACCAATGTGAGATTTCTAAAGATAGCTACAGCACTTGACCCAGGATTTAAGAATATGAAGTGCCTTCCAAAATCTGAGGGGGACGAGGTGTGGAACATGCTTTCAGAAGTCTTAAAGAGCAACACTCTGATGTGGAAACTATAGAGCCCAAAACACCAAAAAAGAATCTTCTGCTGGTGGCCTCTGACTCAGATAATGAAAATGAACATGTGTCGGTTTGCACTGCTTTGGATTGTTATCAAGCAGAACTCATCAGCAGCATGGACACATGTCCCCTGAAATGGTGGTTGAAAGCATGAAGGGACATATGAATCTTTAGCGCATCTGGCACATAAATATCTTGTGACGCCAGCTACAACCATGCCATGAGAACACCTGATCTCACTTTCAGGTGACATTGTAGACAAGAAGTGGGCAGCATCATCTCCTGCAAATGTAAACAAACTTGTTTGTCTGAATGACTGGCTGAACAAGAGGTAGGACTGAGTGGACTTGCAGGTTCTAAAATTTTAGTTTTATTTTTGAATGCTGTTTTTTGTACATAATTTTACATTTGTAAGTTCAACTTTCATGATAAAGAGATTGCACTACAGTACTTGTATTAGCTGAATTGAAATATATTTTTTTTTAACAGTGCAAATGCTTGTAATCAAAAATAAACAATGTGAGCACTGTACATTTTGTATTCTGTGTTGTAATTGGTATCAATATATTTGAAAATATAGAAAACATCCAAAATTTAAATAAATGGTATTATATTATTGTTTAACAGTGCAATTAATTGCAATTATTTTTAATCACGATTAATTGCGATTAATTTTTTAAATTACTTGACAGCCCTATTTTTAAGATAAGCCTTCTCAGTTTCTCTAGGTTTTTTCACAAAGTAATAACTTACTAATAAAATCAGGGGGTGTTACTAAAGGAGGAAGTGGTGAACAGTGTAGGAGTATTCCTTAACCTTCTAAAGTACTCTGAAGTCTCCAAACTTCCACTTAGCCACTACTACTAAAATGCAGTGCCCAATCTTCTAGGCGGCTGCTGAAAAGTTCTAAATTAGGCAAATTTAAACATAAATTAGAGTTGGGGGCAGGGGGAAAACAACATGACCTCTACATGGCTGCTTTGAAAATAGCATTTGTATTTAAACTGTTTGCTTTAAAAAATACAACAAACCGGCATTGTAGTCGTTTCAATCTGCAACTCTCATATCTGATCAGCATTGTGCTTAGACCCTGAAAATTTCCCAGTGACACCCCAAATTCAGAAAATTATATTTATGTTGGAGACAGGATAAATCACCCTTACTATGTAGAAAAAAATGGTCTTTGCAGGAGATGACATTTGGGAAAGTGTCTGCTTTACATAAGACAGCAGCTTTCATCAGTATGGCATAATGACAAGACAACAATTTTTTGTGAGGGGTCTGGGTTGTGTTGTAATGTTTAAGCATCCAGTATTTAATATATTCAAGTAGCTTGTTCTTATGCAACCTTGTGTTGTTTCTTATGAAGCTCAGTATTAACAATTTTCTAATATGTACCTACCTTATCTAAGGTATGCACTGACAGAGTTTAGAGAGTAAAATTTACTGAATATGATCCTCTTCTACAGGAATTCACACCCATTAATGCAGATATCAAAATAATTTACAGGTCAAGTTTAAACAAGTACACTGAAGGCATTTTAAAAAAATTATTAATGATAAGCTTTAGGAGTAAGCAGATCTTAAAAACATACACACAACCTTACCCCCCCCCCAAAATCCATATAGAGGGTTCAGCTGTTTCTTAATTGGATACAGGGTTATCACTAGCCCCACACCTTAATTCTCTCCATTCTCCCAAACAGCTGATCACTATATCCCAACAAGAAAAACGTTACCATTCTGCTCATATCGACAGCATAATTTCTGCAAATCAGGCAAGCAAGTATTCTGCAAGTCACAAATTTAAGCATGTTCTGCCCTTGATGTAGCTTTTGCGTGCATTATTTTTAGAGACTCCTCCACTCCCCCAATATATTACATATTCTCATATAAAATAGGATTAAATATTCTGGAGGCAAGATGGGGTTGGAGTGAGTAAATAGCTGGTAACATACAAAAATGGAATCCTGTGAATTTCCTCACTAGGATTGAAAGTGTAAGCATAATAGAAGTAACCACTAAATTATCTCAATCGAACTTTCAAAAATACTTCCTTAGCAAATCTGTGTTACTCCCATTTCCATACCTGCAGTTTCGTAACTGACAATTTGATGTGGTAATTCAACTAGAGACTGCTACAGATACAGGAATGAGTTACTATTCCACTGTATTTGCCCAACATATCACAACTAAGACATCCGTTCTTGTGAAATTCTGAGCTCTAATTCCATACATCGTATTACTATACTAATACGATATGTAGTTTAAGTCCTCTGATGCAGATTCCTAAACCTATATAGGGAAAACATTTATACAAGCCTTTATCAATACTGTCCCTTTAGAAGCTCATTAAGTGGGTAATATAAACAAATCTAGAACACTAATCTTAAGATTAGAGATCTGCAGTATAATTCATTAAAGAAATGCTGCTTGAAGGGTTTGTTGAAATATAGTTGTCAGGAAGAGAAACATTAAGGAGTGTGAGACAATGGGTCCTCAAACTAATTAACTTAGAGCTCCTACTGAGCTAGGAGATTGGTAAATGTTAGTATGCAAATAAGATATGTATGTATATTTGTCAGTTTCTGCTTCCTTTTGTCTCTTATGTTAAATTGGCTTTCCCTTATCTGTTTAAATAAGTTAGCTTGAGCTTTTGCAAGAGGCTCACATATCTGGGTGCACTGGCAAAGTGCTTTGCTAATAAACAAAGTGGTCTGACAAATTTTGGGAGTCTTGAATCTGACTTTGACAAACCTGAAACTACCAACAGTGAGCAATACTGTTGTAAAAGGGCAGGGGAAATAAATCAAACGGAAAAACATCCCGAGAACACAGTAGCCAACATCTTGAGTTTATGAAAACTATACAAAGTTTTCTATACTAAACTTAAAGATTCTTTTTCAAGTCTAATTTTTATGTTAAGATCCATTTTTAAACCACTTCTTGCTTTTCTATTTATAGAACAGCAGCCAAATAGATTGCGGTACTTTGTTTTTTAAAGTAGTAATGTTTCAGTTTAATTAAAAACAAAACAAAAAACAACCCACCAACTTTTCTTTGAAATGCTTTTCCACAGTAATTGTTTTAAGTGTTCATTTGGAAAACAGAGGAAGCAATGAGAAGACTAACAAGCCATGAGCACTAAACAAAGGCCTACGGAAAAATTCATACCAACGGACTTTCACTAAGGATGAATATGGCCCATGAAGTACAAGCCTGAATCAATTCATCTGAACAGTAGAGTAAAACTATCAAGCCAATAAAACTAAGCACACATGCATGAGTGACTAAAAATCATACAATGAAGTAATGACAATTTATTTCAATTGTAACAATACCTGGGATTAACAGGTTAAAAAAAAATGAAGTATACATGAGTATTAATTTTTTGCAGTCAGGCTCAACAGCAGAACTAGAATGGCCCGTTTTCTGCTTCTTATGCAGTAGCATAATCTATTGTGTCTGCATTTCCAAAACACAGTTTTTTTGTTTTTTTTTTTTTAATAAAAAAAGCAAATCTTTTAAATGAAAAAATTTAATGTATAGTTTATTTTGAAATTAGATTTGTAAACTTCACCTCCCCTTTAACAAATTTAAAAACATTGCTTGTCAGCTTCCATTTAAATCTACAGTGGCTTTCATGAATACATAACATTTTGGCTTTTACATTGAGATGGCAGTAAAATTAAGTATTTGGAAACATACAATACTATCTTAAATCAAAAACACAAATATCAAACACATCATGCTGCTGAGATCCCTTACGGAGGAGACAGCTGAGGTATTTGTTTTATTCCCTAGGATCTTTATAATTCTAAAACATTTGATTTATGTATCTGGTGTTTGGAAGGGGCAAATCTCACACCAGATAGTACTTGTGAAAATCTGCTGTGCTAGTAACAGAGGAAGAGAAATGAACTTTGCTCATGTCAAAAGTTTATTTTTTCCCTTTAATATAAAATGGAGTACCTTCTTTATAGTTCCAGATTTGATCAATTTACATAAATTTAAAGCATATTTAATGCTCATTTTCCATGTAGTTGGTCTTGGAGAATTTAAATTTAATAAATGGAAGAATCTATGTAGAGGGAAGTCAGCAGGCTTTTAGACCCTCTTTACCAAAATTCGGTTCCCTCTTTTAGATATTATTGGTCATCACACCTTGACAGTTTAGAAAGGCTAGATTGAGTTTACTTTTAAATAATTGTTTTACTGATAGTTGTGTTAATCTTTATACAAGGAAATTTGTCTATCAAAAAAACAAAAACAAGACATTTACTGAATGAAAAGGCTTTTTGTTGGTTTTCTACCCTGGTTTAAGTCTTCCAAAACTCTAGCAGTAGTTAGAAACTAAGTAGATCTATTGCTAATAACCACTGTTAAGGGAGCAGCTTCAACCATAATACTTATTCCCATTTAAAGAGCATATTAACATTATATTCCATCTTGCATATTCAAATTATAGGTTTAATATTTTTGTAGTAGTATTAAGACCTCCTCATACTTTTCTAAAATGCAAGTATTTTATAACTCCACAAATTCTGGTAAAGTGATTGCAAGTTCTGAACACATCAGTGCCAAATTTAGAAAGTGACTGTTGGAGTGTATTGCTTACACCATTGTATTTCAAACTGTGGGAGGAGGTTATCTGGGGTGTGACAGTTGGGGCAAGGGGCTCCAGGTGTCCAGGCTAGGGAGAGCATACAGGGAGGTTTGGGGCAAGAGAGAGTACATGCAACCCCACCCATAGCCTGCTGCTTTCCATGCATCACTGACCACTGCAGTCTTCCTGAGCATTCCCTTGTTTGCTGCCCTGCACTCAGCCAGAAAGCCATAGCCCTGCAGGAATGAAAGGGAGGGTGAGAACCCCTGGTTCACTCTGCTATGGGCTTCTCCAGGGATGTCCAGCTGGGTCCTGCCATCTGCTTGTCTCAATGAGTCACTTTCTGTCCTGGATGGGCAGGAGTAGGGGACCCTCTTACGCCACTCACATTGTGGTGGTGGAGCACACAGCTCCATGGCATGTTGTCTAACGAGGTTAGATTCATCCCTAACATTAAGTAGATATAAAAAAAAAAAATGTACTTCCTTAAGAGTCAGTGAATGGCACATCATGAGTGATCTATTGTCCTATCTACAATATATAAGTAGGTTTTATAAGTTGTTTTCTAACACAAACAGCACTCTTGATCCTTTAGCATGGTTAAAAGAGCTTTTGAAAGTCATTAAGACTTTTAAAAAGTAGCTTCCTACTTATCTTTTGTAATGAAAACCTACATGAGACTGTATTAAATTACATCCAATGCTAGTTCAAAGGATATCTTTTTCCACTACTGTCTGCCATAAGTGGCCATCATACCAGTGGAGTTGTGCCAGGAGAATAAAAAATTCTACCATCCAGAATTCTCTGGCACTATAGCCTTCTAGGAAGCAATAGATATAGTGGTCTGCTAAAGAAAACTGTAGGTACCCTGTCAAGCAGGAACAATCCTCAATTAGCAAACAAAAACAACCAAAACTGGTGTAAGAGGCCTGCTTAAGTCTACTAATTTAACTTAACATACAAGAAATGTCTGCATAATTTTACCAACAGGAAGGATTAAAATGCACTTAATCTAATCTGATTACATCACTTATATGAAGATACGCACCCTCAAATATGTAAACACCAAGTGCAAGAATTATAGTCACAAGTGTTTGAAGTGTACAGAAAACTCAGTTCTGTCCTTTGATGCTGTTTTCAAATTTGTTTTATTCACTCTTTTGGATGACTATAAATAAGTGTTTCCACTATGGAAAAGAAAGTTAGCACAGTACATTTTCATGACTGGGGAATGGATTTTCTGAAGACATCTTCAAAAGGGCAAAAGCTTAGAAAAAACAATCTGAATGTTGGAATTCAGTTCTTTATAAAGTCCCTTGTAAAAATTAAAAAAAAAATTAAGGAAAAAACACAAGGCCCAAGATGATTTATTGCTTCTCTTCAATTTTTTCCTTGGTCTCTTCTTTCTTCTCAGATTTTTTACTCTCTTCCTTAACAGAAAGCTCTTCTAATTTCTCAGCAACTTTGTCAGCACTATCATTTTTCTCTTTGCCTGCTAAGAGATTGTTTGAAGAAAAAAAGTTACACACACAGTATGGTAGATTTAATTAACAATTGGAAAGCTGTATTAACTTGTTTTTCTGAAGAAAGAGTGTAAATTGGCTTTTGAAAGAGGATAAAGATGAAGTGTTTTTTGAACGCCTTGAACTCTCTGCCACACTCCAAGATGATTCATACTGTTTCTTTTCCCTTGCTGATACATACCATGCCAAATGAATGTAGACTCACTCCTTCCCCCTCCTTTAAAACAAAAACAAACAAACCAACCAAATAAAAAAAAACCCCAATCACTACACTAGGCCATAGCTTACTGACTAAATGGGATGCTACCCTTTGCAGTACCCTCATGAACAGTTTTTTGGATTGCTATAGGGTAACTACTGACAAGGTGTATTTTGTGGAATTGGATGTGCTGGTTCCACACAACTTCCAGCTCCTTAGATAATATCCTTATTCTAATAAGGAGTTATTTGCAATTCAGGTCTCTATCCTCCTCTCTCCCGCCACTCCAACAGCTTTGCTTGAGTGAGAGAAAACTAAGGCTACAGTTTACAAGGGAATTCAGTTCCCTGCATTGCCTAAACCACCCAGATTTCCTGAAGCATTTGAATTGCTGACCAGCAGGAGTCTATACTTTAGAAATTTAGAATGGAATTTTATCCACTAAAGGAGTAATCTCTATATGAAATTGAAGATATTTGTTCAGAGAGCTTCTCTCCGTTATACGTGTTGTGTGTGTGCCATACAGAACCATCAAATTAAGTTGGTAAAGTTACTTCACAACTTAAACAAAGTGAACCAAGTTTCAAATGTTAGTTTAAAATATAATCCTGCAACTGGGGTATTTACTTGTGAACAAAGGAAAATTAAATAAATAATTTAAAAAATCAGTATGGTAAAACTGCTACTCAAGTGTAGTATATATTTTCATTATTTATACAGAAAAGTCTTTCTATAATATTTGCCCTAAAAATTATGTCCCAGGAGCAATTGCAAGTCTTCTACAAGGAAAGAAGAGTTCTCAAACCATGGACCATTACTCTAGCAGACTGAAAAAGCCCCTGGACTGAAGATTGCAGTCAGGCACAGAGTGAGTCTGCCAAGAGACACCAAATATTACAATGAGCAATCTAAGGATATTCCCTCGCCCCCACCATAGACATTAAAAACTTGGAAAAAGGAGAGGACAAAACAGTGCAATACTCATCTAAATTCCAAGAGGAGATTAACATCTTACCCTTCTTTGCTCCCTTGTCTACCTCATTCCTGCATTCTTCAAATTTTGCTTTGAATTTCTGTGCATCTGTTTGAAATAAAATGTTTCTTCATTACCTTAAATTATGTACAATGCCTCTTCTTTAGATCTATTTGTTCTGAAACAGACATTTATCCTGAAACAAATTCATTTCTACATGTTAGTTTGACTGCCTTTTTAGTCTAGAAACATGCACTTAGTGGATTTCATCTTAGTTCAAGTGATCTTAAGTATACAGGCTTCAATTATTTCTCATTATTTAAATACTCTCCAAAGAAAGCAATGCATGTTGCACTTTTGAGTGGGTTTTCTACAAAGTTCTCATCTTAAGCTTCTGCTGCTAAGCACTATTTTAAGCTATCTGAACTTCTATTCATACCTTTGCTACTAGGCATTCACATTAGAAGTCTACCTACCACACATTCTTGTTCAGTCAGGGCCAGGGACTGAGAGGACCATAGACATTTATTTTCTCACACCTAGAGATTGTTCTGCCAGGATACAGCTAAGGAGGAATGGCAAGTTGTCACCATCACTACCTATACTGCACCTGAAGGGAGAATTTCAGTCTCCTGAGTTGAAAATCCAGTCCATTTCATGAGCACAAACTGTACTTTAAAAACAAAAACCAAAAACCAAACACCACCGCCACCACACAATGCCATCAGTAAAAAGATGCAGGTAACATGGCTCAAGTTACAGCTAACCAGAATTCTTCTGAAGACAACCTACATCAATACATTTCAGTCTAAGTGATTGGTTCGGAATAGTTCCATTTCAAAGATAGAAACTTTCTGATAATGGCTGCTATCAGTCCTATTACAATAAGCATCCCTCCAACCCTTTCTAACTGAAATAATTTGAGAAGCAGATAACCACAGTCAAGTCACTTTCAAATAGAACTAGAAAGAATAATTTGATAAGCCCACATTGAGATAGCATGACTGGCCACTTGAGGTCACTATTGCTCTACAGGAAAATGCGCATTTTTAAAGACTGAACATGAAGCCAGAGGTTTTTTAGAATCTCTTCAGAGTGTGCACCCTCCTCATGGATTTTCAGAGCTTCTTTGAAAGGGAGTTCATCGTGCATAGTGATACCCCCGACAGGACCAGAAACTGAACTTTAATTAAAAAGACCAGAAGTATTTGTGGCACCTTAGAGAGTAACAAGTTTATTAGAGCATAAGCTTTCGTGGGCTACAGCCTACTTCATCAGATGCATAGAATGGAACATATAATAATTATAGATATATAACACAAAGTGGAAGTTGCCATACAAACTGTAAGAGGTTAATTAAGATGAGCTATTATCAGCAGGAGGAAAAAAAAACATTTTTGTAGTGATAATCAAGATGGCCCATTTAGACAGTTGACAAGAAGGTGTGAGGATACTTAACAGAGGGAAATAGATTCAATATGTGTAATGACCCAGGCACTCCCATAAAACACAGATCCATGCTTCTGCTCTAATAAATTTGCTAGTCTCTAAGGTGTCACAAGTACTCCTGTTCTTTTGGCGGATACAGACTAACACGGCTGCTACTCTAAACCTGAACTTTAGTTCTTTGTCTATAAACCCAAGAAGGAACTCCACTAATAGTTTGCTTTCTATCCCCTCTTATCTGCTACTGCAAGGCAGTGTATAAAGGAAGCAACGAAAGCCCTCAGTCACCCCACCCCACCCTCAAACTCAGAGATAACGTTAAAACCCCAATCCTAAGCTTATTCTTCTAAGTAGACTTTTTTTGGTAGGGGATTCAGGGGTTTAAATAGAAGGCTTGGTTTCAGTGAAAGTTTGCCTGAAGAAGAAAGGATGCTTTATTAGAAAGGTGAAACTGAAAAAAACATTGTTTGCCGATATGTGTTTATATGGATCGGCCACAAGGTGCCAACTGTGCAATGGAACATGTTGGTAGTATTTTTGTTTACTACCATCTTACCTTCCTCCTATGTGCCAAGCTAGACATTTTAATGTGGCTAACCCACTGGCACATGCAACCTGAAAGTTATCTGGGATGCACAATAAGAAGCCAGCAGTTATAATGGTCTTTGACAGTCACATACTGTTTGCTGCATTAACTGCTTAAGGGCTCGTGAGAATAGCTGGATCTAGAAGTCCTTCACCCCTTACAAGAGCTACCACTAGACTAGACAGGAGCCAGAAGAGAAAGATTAAGCTGGTTGTGCAGCCACCATGGGATTCTCCTTGGATGCCCGAGTCACAGGCAGAAGGGGTTTTAGCAGCCCCAGAGAGCAGTTCACTAACCCAGTAGCTATCTGGGGGGGTGTGATGAGAAGGGAAGAAGTGTGGCAGCCATTTTGTTTTCCAAGTCTCATTTTATTTCTCATACAATTAGTTTTGCATGTTCTATTTAGGAATGAATGCAGTCTGGCATTCCATGTAGGGAATTCCAGGCAAACCACTACAATTTATCGTCACTTATTTTGGCGTTTGTAAGGTATTTGTGGCAGAGAGTGGCTTCCATGCTATGTCTGTATAGTCCCTAACCACTCCTGACTGGGGTACTCAAGTGCTACCAAGATACAAATAATTTCACCTCTAATTCCCTAAATCATGGCATCTATTCTCCTAAGTTACCTAGAGGAGATACTGCACAGTCAAATTTGTTTTTATATTTTGAATAGATGAGAGAATTTGCCTGTTCTGACCACAGATATGAGATACTCCCTTCAACAGGAGTGTTATTCCTCCACAGTGCTCAAAGCCTTTCATTAACATAAAATAACAGAACCAGAATCTTGCACCATCTCTCTGAATGGTCTAACTATACTAACCTTTGGGAGCATTGTAGCAAACAATATATAAACTTTAAATAAACTTTAGTCTAGAAAGATTTACTATAACCTATCGTCCAAGTTAACCATGGTTGTTAGGATTACCATATTCCACTTAGAGGATATTTCATTTGATATGTTAAAAGGAAGAGACAAATGCATATTAACACCTAGTACTTGTTCAGTGTAGCGGTCAGTAAAGTATGTGATTCTAAGGGAGATACGCCTGAATGAAAGATTTAATACAAGGTAATAATTTCCATACAGTATTTGTAATGTCACAAATCAGAGGTTCTCAAACTGTGGTCTGCGAACTCCATTCAGGTGGTCCGCGGATAGATCCCTCTAAGGTTTGTGCCTGGGTGGCCGCACACAAGAAAATAAAGGGCTACCCACCTAATTAGTGGAGCTGCACAGGCATGGCTCCACAAATTAGGTGCCTGGACCCTGGAGAAGATACACATGTAAGGTGAGGTGGTGGCCTTGGGGGAAATAGAGGGTAAGTGGGAAGGGGCAGTGGGAATTTGGGACGTGCAGGGCAGCGGCGGCCAGAGAAAGAGGAGACTTCCCCAGCTCCAGGGCTGTGGCGCCAGGGAGAGACGGCCCTCCTTCCCAGCCCCAGCTCAGGGGCTGCTGCAGCAGGGGAGAGAGGGCACATCCATCGCATTAGAAAGGTAAGACTACTGATATTAAAATAGGAGTTGTGCGCTTTTATTTGTAGAACAAAAAACGTTAAAGGTTGTTTTTTTTTTTTTAAATATAGCGTTTTTACCCAAAGCGCTTTACAATAGTTAGCTAATGGTACAAATGACATTTGGAAAGATCATTAAGTGGTCCGCTGAGACCCTCAGTAATTTTCAAGTGGTCCGTGGGAAAAAAAAAAAAAAAAAACAACCACATTTGAGAACCACTGCCACAAATTTAATCTTCATTAAAACATGAAGTTGAGGTAATTAATGGAAGTAAGGTGAATACACTGGTTGAAGTCCTGGAGTTATATTGTATTAAAATTATTTGGAAACACTAACAAGCTCTCTTGAAAACAAAGTGTCAGCACACTTATCAAGGCAACCCCCCCCCCCAAAAAAAAACAAAAACAAAACCAAGAAAGTTATAAAGATGGTGTTGGATGGAAGGTGGAAGATAACTGCTCTATTTATCTACATATTCAGAGCATTACTAATTAACTAGTTGCACTCTGAATTATTTCTGCTGCAGTACTATTTAGATAGAAGGGACTGTCCTTCTAGACAAATATTAGGGTGGCTTTCTATGGACAAATGAGGCTTTTTTCTCCCCTCATCCCATTTTGAGTGCTTACAGCCAGTGGGATAGATTCTTTAAAAAGACAGGGAATATTTATTCTTTTCTACCATGGGAGCTACAAAAGGTAGTGGTAACTACTTTCATACATTTACTGTAGAATACTGTGCAGTATTAAATGGCCCAAGGTTACTTCCTAAAGCAGATAGTATAGTATCAAAAGAAACTGATCTTGTGCCATCACTCACTTTCTGCATTTAGGAACCGGATTGCCAAAAGTTCAGGTTTAGGGCTTTCATCTGCAAAGTCAGCATGTGTGTTCCAAACCCATGCCCTGTCACTTCCAGCATTAGGCTTCAGCTCCATTAAAGGTGTAACTACAAAGAAAAAGAACTGATTAGTCCTAGCTCCATATAACATTTTGAAATACATTTCCACATAAGCCCCACAAGTACCTTAAGAAAGTCAGCTCTTAGTAAGATGAAGTAAATAAAAGATTTTATACCTCACAAGGGATTGTAATGTAGTTATTTCTAGCTGAAATGGAGGGAAGGGAAAAAAGGATGGTGCCCATATTGTTCTGTCCTGTGTCCCAGAACAATCTGTAATGGGAAGCCAATACTGCCAGAGTGCTAACCACACACTTCTATTCAACTCCCCCCAAAAGGTCATAGTTCCAATTTAATACCATTTTAGAATGCAGTGTTCCCCTACTGAAAGGCCAATGGTCTAAAAAGTACTTTTAGATAGTGGCCAATACGTATGCTTCAAAGGAAGGTACAAAAGCATCCAAATAAAATAGTAAAGTTTCTTCCTTTCTGCTGCTGGTAATCTTACGTATTATAGACAGCACTTAGCTTTCCTCTGAGATTATTCATGTAAGTGATTTCTCCCTCCTCCCTTTATGCCATCTTAAAATTCTGTTTCAATATCCTGCGACAAACTACAAATATTCAACAGTATCTTTTTAACTGCCTTGTTACGCTTGCTTACCCTTTTCTGGGGCAGGTGCACTAAACTAGAGAAACTGTAGTTTCAGCAGAAGTCACAAGCTTGATGAACCCTTCGTTCCAATTTTTGTTCATCCCCGGGCCTTTTATTTAGTGTATATAGTAAGTACAGGGACCACAGACAAATAGAATGCTAAAATGCTATTTCCAATTATACTTTTCAGTTGCTTCAAACATCTCCATTCAGCAAAACTTCCCATGTCTGATTTCTGTTCAAACAATTTTTTCCTAAACTTGTGTCAAGACAATCCTTTCAGCCATCTAAATGATTTCAGCAGAAGAGTTATTTTCTGCTTTAAATAAGTTTGAGACTTTGCAGAACTTACATACTCCACATTGCTAGATCTCCTTGAAAATGAATGAGCATTCAAAGAGACTTCATTACAAAACTAAAATATGCAACAAAGTATTCTGATGCCTGTTTAATTTACTAGATTGTAAATATACTTACCTGTAGTATTATAGAACTGTGCACAATTAATAAGTTAAACGGGCATCAAACTGGATGCATACACAGAACTTGTCTATTTACTGACGTTAGACCACTGGCCCATTCTGCCAAGCCATTTTTAGGGTTAAAAAATAACCTGCACGAATCCTATAAGACTTGATAACTATATTGCACATAAAAATAGGTGACAGGCAAAGGGAAGTTATGGGAAATAATGGAACAAACATACTATAATGATTTGCACAGATTTTTAGGGTTTTATCTCTCCTCATGAGAAGGCGAATTGTTCCCTTCTCCCTGTGCTTCAGGAGTTTCACATCCCCGGTTCCTCGTTCTTTCCACTCTGGAAGATCATTTTCTGATGCAAATCGAAACAGCTTTGCTCGCCTTGAGAAAGAGAGAGCAAGAGATTAGAGTTTGTACGCAAGAACAAACCACGCTGAATAAAAGGTCCTTCAGCCCACCTGTCTTAGGTGAAAGTTAAGATTCCACAGAGCTTTCAGGAGAGAGGAAATAAATCCAGAGTCCTCACCAACAAATTAGAGTTCAAGATGACAGATTTTCTAGGCAAATTGAGCACCATGCTATCTGTAGTCAATGAACTAGTTCAGGACAGAATACTGTATGAATGGAGTCATTAAAAAAAAACAACCTTCACTGCCCCACAAAAATGTTGCTGAAAGAACGTCTGTGTAATTCCAAGACAGCTCCATATTAGCACTGAATTTATTCCATCAAAAAGTGAATTTCATGATTTTTTTAATCGTAGGGTACACGGATTTAAGTTACAGAAGAGATGTGTTACTGTCGTATATATTTGGAATGAAATTAGTGCATTGAAATTACAACCAATGATTCAACAAAAACACAAATGAAGCCAGCCATGTTGGCCTATTTTCATGGCAGTTTGTTAATTAACAAACTTGTTAAAGGAGAGACGAACATTTAAAAGTAGCTGCCCAGCCTCTTTTCCAGATCCGTTATTTTCTTCAGCTATCTACTTGTGGGGGAATTCTGCACCACTGCACATGCACAGAAACATGTCCCCCCACAGATTTTTTTTTGCTTCCCTGCAGAAAAATGGTTTCTGCGGGGAAGCAAAGAGAAACTGCACCAGTGCTCACTCACCCTCTCCGGCAGCACGGATGCATCTGTTCGGGCAGCTGGGGGAGAGGTAAGTCACCACGAGTGTGTGCGTGGGGGGTGTCTGTAGATGCCTTGGCTGCCCAGGGACGATAGTCCCGGCTGGAGCAGAGAAGGGGGTGGGGACGGAGACAGAGTTCCCCCTCCCCTACATGGAGCAGCCAGGGCTGGGTCAGATCAACCCCCAGAAACCTCCCCTGGCTGCAGGAAGCTCTGCAGGTAGTGGGAAGTGGGGTCTGGGTGCGGGGGAAGGGTGTGTGTGTTCCAGGTGGGGTGGGGCTAGGGGAGTCCAGATGCACAGGGGATGGGCGGGGAGGGGTGAGCAGCTCCCTGTAGAATGACCCCTCCTCCCACAGCTGAGGAGCGATGGGGCCAGGAAGTAAGGGGGAGGAGTCACTGTACAGGGAGCTGCTCCTGTCTGCCCAACCCCCCTGCACCTGGAATCCCTCCCCACTGAGCCCGCCCCTTACATTGGGACACCCCCCCCCGCCAGATCCCTACCCCACCAAGCCCCACTCCACTTACACCCAGACCCCCCCGCTGAGTCCACCCCCACCATCTTCACCTTGACTCCTCAGCAAAGTCCCATTCCCCCTGCACCGAGAATCCCCCAACAAGTCCATGTGCATCCAGATCCCCCCCCGACCCCCACACCAATCTGTCCGCACACAAATTGTACCACACAGAACCTTGGTACTCGAGGGAATTCTGCACCAAAAGTTAAAAATTCTGTACCAAAACATTAAAATCCTGCATATTTTGTCAAAACAACAGTAACACATTAACAATATGATCACATCATTTTCAGTTATTTGTTGAAAAGTGTTTTGAAATAAATTATGAAAATAATTTAAAATGGTGAGATTATATTGTGTTATTTTGACAAATAAAATGTACAGAATTTTATAATATTGTGTGCAGAACTTAATTTTTTGGCAGTTTTACTCCTGAGGCAATTCTATCTCACACACCACCAACAGTTCCATTTAGGAGGGTGTTTTCCAACCCAATATATTAATGTAAATGCTTTGCATTCAAAGTTAATTCAGTCTTACAATTCTTTCATTTAAACTTTAGTGCTTGCTTCCCTCCCAATTCACAAGGTGGACTTTTGTGCCCTTCTATAAGGGCTACAGGATTGATATCCTAATTGGAAAGAAAAAGCAGACTAATTTACAAATAATTCTTAGAGTGTACTGCTTTTCTGATGTAAACAAAAAGGTACCAAGCTAACAGCATACCTTGTTTTAGATTGGTTAGCTAAAAATGTAGTATTCCTACCTGGAAAACTTTCAGATCAAATCAAGACATCTTCTTCCTAACACTAAGGCTGAGCAAGACAAGATTACCTCATGAATATTTTTAAAGCAAAAGGTCGATTCCCTTTGTGTTTAGGGATCTCAGATCCATGTCAATACTATACCCCCAATAAAGGGATTACTTGCCAAGTTAATTTTGACCTTCAAACAGAGCCATACCATAGGATCAGGTGTCTCACAATGTAACCATAAAACAATTTGGTTAGTGTTTACCAGTTAACAGGAGTGTGCAAGTCCCTGGATCCCAGTGGATCCAAAGGAATAAATACTTCACTCCCTTAAACTATCCCTCGGTTGCTTTCTACCCTCAGAATCTCAATTTGTAGTTACTGTACAACACAGAGGAAAGGGAGATTGAGTGTTGCTCTGCAAAGGCAATATAAATAGGACCCCCCCCACACACCCCAATGTAAGTAACTCCCTTCTCTCCTTCAAAAACAATGCCTTCACAAAGCCCTTAGTGTAGGAGATTATGTAGCAGTGACCTCTCTGTAAAGGTAGGCCAAGGAACTCTGCTAATGGAACTGATTAATATGTATCTTCTTGATACTACAATGAAGTTGTGACTTGAAAAGATATAAGTAGGACAACGTATTTATGAAATAAAGGTAGGTGGGGCCTGCACACCAGTGTCTGCAATTGAGCTGCAGAGAAAGTTTTAACTTTAAACTAAGAGTCTAAAGGAAGTAGTCAGGAATTAATGTGATAGAATTTGAACAACCTGCACTCTCTACCACAGCCTTGTGGGGAGGTTGAGTCCTATGCTGCAGCCAGGTCAGTCTGACATGCATCCTAATGCAGATCAACTACCTGGATTCAAGGTGGCTTATTTTTTGGAACCCTAGGATTCAGGAAAGCCCAGAGCACTGGCATCCAGCCAGGTCTCAGCAAATTTGTCAAAACACTTCCTTTTGCTGTACAACATATTGAACTGCTGGCACCTTAACAGCTTTCCTAAACTCTATTTAAAGGACCCTCTGATCCTTAGCAGAATATATTCCAGTGTTTCTTTAGGGGTTGTTTTTATAAGAGAATGGCTTCTTTCATCTGGGACTGCACAACACTTGGCATACAGAAAAGTTTAGTGGTCACACTCCTCATGCAGGTCAATATTTGGAGATGTTCTCATAGAACCATGTGTTATCAGAGTCTTACAGGAGCACACTCTGGAACGAAGCTTGAAAATGACTACTTTTGGCCATCTGACTTTTCCCAAATGGGCTTCATGCCTATTTGAAGCAGGAGCATCATGGAGCTAAAGGAATGCATCTTAGCTCCTGTGCTACATACACTTCTCTCTACAGAGGTCTCCAGCTTAGGAAAAGTTCAAGGCATTCTACAAAATTTAAACTTAGAGTAAGCCAATTTGTCCAGTTTTCTAACCATATAGCTATTACAATTTGATGTCTGCTAACACAATGGAAAGAGCAAGAGGTGTTTCTATGACTGCTGCAGATGATGGCAGAAGGGAACCATTGAAGAGTTAGAGAGGGTGGAGCATTAACACCTCAAATCTATAAAATATTGATTCAGTAAGCAAGCAGACAGCTTCTACTGGGGGGGAGGGGCAGGGGGAAGATGGGCGGAGGAAGTGTCACGATGACCCAAATATTTAAGCACAGAGTAGGACATGTTAATTTTAAAAAAAGAAAAACCTAATTTGTGACACAGTTACACATCTCTAGACCCAACATTTTTGCACAATTCAAGTTAAAAGGTTTAAATTTTTTCAAATCCAAACTTTCTAATGATATCTAATTGATAGTGAGAGTCAGGATTTCGTCATGTTACACTATATCAGCCCCAACACTCCAGGGGCACAGACATTAGTCATATCAAGTGCTATTTTCTTTCTACTAGTACTACATTGTTTTAGGCAAGTACCCCGTGTGGTGTTTTGCAACAAGCTACCTTCCTATCTTTTATTAGTGTTTTTCACAGTTTAAAAGCAACTAGTGTTTAGAGACCTACCCAGTGCCATCCTACTTACATCTTAAAGAGTTCTTCCTCATCCTCCTCAAGGGTCTTGATCTCTTGTTCAGGAAGGGAAACTATGGGCTCAAATTGAGGATCATGGTTAGAATCATCTGCGTTTTCAGTTGAGGTGTCATGTTCCTCATGAGTTTCCTGTGAAAATAATGCAATTTTAAGAACAGTTCTGCAGTGGCTACATCTGTATTTAACATGTGTTACCAAAGGTATTTAGGAACTACTCTGAATGTTCCAACTACATATACACTAACTACATTTTATTCAGCCTTTTAAAATATGCAGATTTCCTTCACATTAGTGAAACATAGGAACACTCACCCAGGAGTCTAAGGACTTGTCTACATACTGCACAGATGCGCACCAGCTGTGGTGTAAATTCTAGCGCACACCAGAGTATGGCGCACTGACTGTGGATCTTACTGGTGGACACTAAAAGCTCTAACACAAACTGATGTAGTCCCGTTTGAAATGGAACTACATCGACATGCACTAGGGAACTTTTAGCACATTTCACTTTTAGTGCCCCAGCCCTGATCCCCCTCCCACTTTCCGAACCCCTCAATCCCAACCTGGAGCCCCCTCCTGCACCCCATATCCCCAGCCCCACCTAGAGCCTGCAGCCCCAGCCCTCACCTTAATCCCCTGCCCCAGCCCAGAACCCCCTCCTGCACCACAAACTCCTCATTTCTGGCCCCACCCCAGAACCCTCACCCCCTCCTTCACGCCAACCCCAATTTTGTGAGCATTCATGGCGCGCCATACAATTTCCATACCCATATGTGACCCTTGGGCTAAAAACTTTGCCCACACCTGCCCTACCCAAAAGCAGTAAAGAAACTATTCATACAGAATGACTCTAGTCACAGTGGAAATAGTGAGAGCAGAAAATTTCTAAAAGTTTTTTGAAAATAAAAAGGTTTTGGTTTGTGTGTCATAAAGCACTGCACTAGCTCTTTGAAAACAAAAATCAAGATTTCCTTTTTTATTGTAGATCCCTGCCATGGAGAAAGAGAAAGGATGCATATTTGGAGAAACAGGGGGCACACAGAGTCCTAGACATAAGAGTGTAGATGGAGGAGTTGCAAAAGTCCTTGAAATAGAGGGGGGATGGGAGAATGGCACCCAGGGACCTTGTGGGGTGGAACAGATGAACACAGAGCCCCCTGGTTTGTGCGATTAGCTTGGCCAACAGAAAGCAAGAGAGATACCTTCTCCCTAGTATTCTCACAGTAAAACAATTAAGATAACATAGCTACAATGTTCCTTTAAAAAATTAAGCTGACCAATTAACCATCAAAGATCTAAAGCAACACCACTAAGTCAGGCTTTTAGCTATAACACAACTTTGTAATACGAGAACAGTATCAAAATGTCTCAGGTTAAAAAGAATGTTGGTATTCTTGCAATGTTAGAGATATTTAAATATTACACTGATTTTATTTTTAAATCTTGATTAAAGTATCGGCTGGAAACCTAGAATTAGCAAACTAGCCTAAGGCTATGAAAAACTGTTCCCCTATTTTTGGTTTTGGATAATATGTTTTAAGTTATTGAAGTAGTACTCCCTCCTACAGGTTTACAGTTAACTTTAGATGCTGAAGTTCACAAGTTCAGAGTCATCTACATTATAAGGATCCCATACAACCTAAGGAGCATACTTACCACCACATCCATATCTGTTTTTATCATTTAAATTATTGGTTTTGAGACACTGTGCACTCAAAGCAGGTTATTTTTAAAAGAACAAGATCTGTATATTAAGGAAATATTAAGATACAGAGATTTAAAAAACCCTCAAAATGAAATTGTCATGGCACATGTGAAATTTAAGAAAAGTGATATTTTTCATGAGAATGTTGGGTTCAAATATACAATTAGTGTTTTCAAATTATGACTTTGTATGTGCAACATAACATAGTAGCTTCATATCAATAGGGAACAAGTAGACTGACAGCTGCGACAGGAGCTCTTCTATAACATTGGGTCAATTCATGCTTCAAAATATTTGACTGGATAAATGAGAGAAAGGACATTTACTAATACAGCTTAAGTAACTGTGTTGGGAGAAAAAGAAAAAAAGTGTGAAGTTTTGTAAAAACCATTCATGGCCTTCTTGAAAAATTCCATTAAAAATATTAAGATACACAGTGGGATGCTATATCCATTTGAATTTAAAATTTCTGTATGAATTTTAATTATAACACCTAAGATCACAATGGTGCACGTATGATCAGTTTATCTTACTGAAAAGATCTTATAAATGTCATTGAGGAGGAAAACCCAAGATGTCAGCACATACCATTTAAAGAATACTCTATCAGAAATTTTTAAAAGTTAAGTTGAGAATACCCCTTTAATACACACGTAAAATGTAGACAGTTTTAGATATGGCTTTACACACAGAGTTAGTATCACACAACTGAATTTCCAATTTAACACTTTACCCTGCAGCTATGTTGTCTTTGTTCTTGACTTAATTTTAATATATAAGAATCACTAAAAGACTTCTCACTTAAGAAGCCAAGAAATGAAATGTGGTTCTTCTATAGCCAAAGAAGCCACAAGAATATTCCAGAAGTCTAGCAAACAGTTTCTTTGCAACACAGGGAGGGAGAAAGCATGGTCTTATGGTTAAGGCATTAGCAAGGGACTCGAGATCTTAATTTAATTCCAGCTCTGCCACAGACTATGAGATCTTGGTCAAATCACTTAGTAGCTGTGCCTGTTCTTTATCTGGAAAATGAAGATAATTATTCTGTTCTTCCTCACCACTGGCAGTTTAGATTATAAACTCCGGGCAGATACTGTCTCTCACTAGGTGTATGTACAACACACAGCACAACAGGGCCCCCAGCTTGGTCGGTGCTTTTATTGTTACTGGAATACAAGTAATGATTCGACAGGAAACCAGAGTTAGTTCAAAGATGCTACAACACACCTTTTGGTGACACCTGTTGAATGTCACCAGTGTTCTAGCACACAAGAAAATGGAGAACAGCCACAGCAATAAAACTGTGATAGAAGTACACTGCACCAAGACCTGATGGTTTCCAAGAGAAGGGGGAAAACATCCCAGAGAGAACACAGGCCAGGCTTGTAGAACTGATAGACTCCAGTACTGAGATAAACAAACCTCACTGCAGAGATAACTGATCCCTTTATTCCGCCCCCACTTCGATTCCCTGCAGGAGCCACAAGAAAATCTTAAGTAACAATAAGCACATGTTAGAGGTGGCGAAAGAAAACGAATCACAGTATTGCGATAAAATCCCACCCATCCGCGATATAAAAAGCACGTGGGAGTCTAGGACGACTAGCTCCGGCCCTGCCGATAACATGAAGGGGGTGGGGGGGGAAGCTAAAGCTCCTGAGTCATAAACCAGATTGTGGCGCCTGCGGAGGCTCAAACGCCCGCTTGGGGCAGAGCCGACCCCGCTGCAGGGCGAGGAGCCAGAGTGAGGCGGAAAGGGATGTCACCGTCTGTCTCGGCCCCGGCCGCCGAGTGATGGGCCCAGCAAGAGACCGGGACGCACGTGTGGGCGGGCAGCCCCCTGCACGGCGAATGCCCGACCCCACGTGCATCTAGGGACGCTGGGTGAAAAGCCACCCAGGCCCCCTTTCCCGCCAAGACAAGGCCGCCCTCCTATCTCCCTCCTCAGCCGCCGCTCTCATCTACGCGCTCGGCCTCGGGTCCCTCACCACGAGTCCCCTAAACCCCACTGCTCTCCCGGACAGCCTCGCTACTCTCCAGGGCCCCTCACCCGACCGGGCCGCGGGCTTCTCACCCATCCGTTCCCCGCTGCGCCTCCAGGCCCCCCATCCACCGTCTCAGCCCACCCTAGCCCACTTCCTCAGCGCCAGGCCGCCCCACGCCACCTCCGGCTCCCGAGCCCCAGGCCGCCCCAGCGCTGCCCAGGGAGCCCCTCCGCCCCAGATTGACGAGGGAAGCATCGGCATCCTCACCTTGGTCTCCGCCATGGGGCTGGGAGGTGGCGCTGCTCCTAGACTAGACTCGTTCGCGTCGCTCTCTCCCCCCACCGCAGCTTTGGCGCTGAATTTCCTGCTTGCCGCTCCCCGCCCCCTCCCGCTTTTACCTCATTCCCGCAGCCCGCGCCGCCGTTGCCGCAAGGCCTGATGGGAAACGCCTACTTTACCCCGCTCCCTGTCTCTCTTGTAATGCCGCTAGCCGTAGGCAGCAGGGCGACCCCTCCCCCTGGTATTAGCCTCTTAGTGGTACTAAATCGCAGCCACGCCGAGGTGTCCGGCCGGGCAGTTTCTCCAGGCTCCCACTCGAGGTCTCGGAAAGAGCACGAATTCCCCCACGAGACGCGCACAGCATCCCCCACTCGCCGGCTGAGTCTAAAGAAAATTCAGCTCCAAAGATCTAGCGTGTGCCCCCAATTAAACCTTTTCACCCCATTCCCGAGCTGTTTCCCATCAGCCTTTGCGACTTGGCGGCGACCATCCCGCGTCTCTCTACTCTCAAGATGGCGCCTGCGTGTGTGGTGGAAGGGGGGAGGATTATTTTAATCTTGTATTTTTAGGATTGGGGGATGTTATAAGCGCAAGGGGCGGATTCCATGGGAGAATCTGTGGGAAAGGGTGGAAAAAAATTGCTTTTTTCCCGCGGGCATTTTAGCTTCCCGGTGACGTCACGGAAGACACCCCCCCCCACCTTGAAGCCCGCCCCCGTTCGGTGTATGTGTGCCGCGTGAGGTGGGGACGGGTCGCGCGGGGAGATGGGCGGGAGGCGAGTGTAGCGGGGGGAGGGCCTGCGACTGAGGAGAGCGCAGGGCTCCCTCAAGCTCCCGGCGGAGCCTGAGCCGGCGCTCGCCGCATCGGCGCTTATTGGCCGCAGGGGCCGCGCCGAGATGCGGTGGCATCCTGGTGTGGTCCCGCGGGGCGCGGACGGGATGCCCCAGGCTAGTGTCTTGGTGCGCTGGATGCTGCATGGGTGGGTGAGGGTGCTGCCCTGGGGCCGGGGCGGGTCGAGATAGCGCTGCAGCCTGGTGGCGGCGGCGGCGTTGCACCACGGGGTGAGGTGGCGGGGCGCGGTGATGGGCCCTTGCGGTGGCTCACGGGGGGTGGCGTGGTGGCTGTGCACTGTGGCACCCGGCCTCAAGTGGGGTGGGGCGTGGTGATGGCCCTTAGCTGTGGCACGTCGGGGAGTGCGTGGTGATGGTGCAAGGCTAGTCTGGAGCGGAATGCTGCAGTGGCCTCACACCCTGTTGTGCGGGCACGGTGCTGTGCTTTGTGGCATCGTGGTGGTGTGGCAACGGTATGGGGGAGGGCATGCTGGGATGTGGTTGGAGTGGAGGGGCATGGCCATGATTACACATGCCCAGGGCTGGGCGCTGTGATGATGGAACCATGTTGTGGCATATTGGTGGCAGGGGCTGGGGGTGCACTGTGGCTCAAACTCCCAGTATTTTCTAACTTCAGCAAGTCCTCGTTCAAAGAGTATTAAATCTGTAAAACTGAAATCTTTACAGGACTGAAGAAATGATGGAAGGAAAGAGTAGTCTCTGTGTCCCTGAAGAAGAAAATACAGCCCCTTCGGTAGAAGCAGAAAATATAACTGAGGTGGAAATTAAGCAAGACAAGGGAGATAGTAGCCATGCAGAGAATACAGAAAATTGCCCTGATATGTACAGATATATCAAAGGAGATTTGTTTACATCGGAGATTTATAAAGTAGAAATTCAGAACCTTCCAAAATATATTGGCTTTAATGATGTAAAGAAATTTCTTGCCAAATATGGACTTAACCCTCATAAGATAAAACTTTTTGGGAAACAAACTTTTGCATTTGTGACATTTAAAAGTGAGGAGGAAAGGGACAAAGCTATGAAAGTCCTTCATGGAGTCATGTGGAAGAGCCGATATTTGAGTGTTAGGCTTGCAAAGCCTAAAGCTGATCCCATTGTAAAAAAGAGAAAGAAAGAAGGGGAGGATACTGAACAGAAAGAAGCAAAGCGTCCAGCTTTAGCAAAAGACAGTGAAGAGGAACCTCTCAGTAAACAGATAGCAGATGTGGTGACCCCTTTGTGGAATATACCATATGAAGAACAGCTGACAAAGAAGAAGCAAGAGTGTGAACAAGTGCTGCAGAAACTGACAAAGTAATTCCTTTTTGTAAGGGTACTTTAATAATGTTTATGAGCTTTAATGCAAATTTGTATTACTATAGCTAAAATCCAGTAAACCTTCTCTCTATTCCCTACACAAATATAACAGTATAAGTAAGTCTCTTTTAATATGTAAGAATGCTTTTCCTTAAATTACCACCTCAACCCCAGAGCTTGAAAATTACATTGGACTAATGTATAGGACTTCATATTTTTAGTACTTGATCTGCTTGAAAAGACCCTGCGAAATTAAGGAATGTGGTTTTAAGGAAAATTATTCCATAAGCCACCAAGGTTAAAAATGAAAATTTTATACCACTGAAAAGCTAGAATTAGCAGGTCCTCAGTGATATAAGGAATGAACTCTGATAGGTGTTGAGATGTAACTTTTCAGTCACATCATTCTGATGGTCTTCTATAAACCCCTCTACTCTAATTCTCACATTATTTAGTCTTTAAAGTATTACTCCTGTCTAAGAAAATAACTTAAATATAAAATTACAGTTTTATCTATGCCTTATTCTGTTACAAAATTATCCATATAAAGAAAACATTTAACCTTGATAGTCATTACTCACTTAAAAAAAATAAAAGCAGACAAGGTTATTTTTTCCCACCTCCATGCTTAAATACCCACCCAGGTCCCATCATCGTAAGATTATACTTTGCAGCAGCCATTATTTCACTTCAGCAGGACTGGATGAGACTCTCTTTACTTGTCAACTTTTATTCCTTAATTAGTTGGGGGGTCATTATAGAAAAATGCAGGACTCTCCTGTTTCCCTTTTTACAATGATTCCAGCTGAGGGGTGACAGATCAGCCATTGCTTTATTCTGGAACTCTGTAGCTGTTTTATGTATTTATGTAGATTTTGAAATTTGCATTTAGTAGCAGTATGATGTAAATACTGTTTAGATTTCCCATTGACAAGACTCTTATGGAAGAATATCCTTCAGGTATTTAATAATTGATTTTCAGATAAGAAAAATAAAATTGGATGCCTGTAAATGGTCCTGTATTGTTTTGTATAACAGCCAGTTAACCTGATTCAGCTGTTTAAATGCATGTATTTATTGAAAGGCTTGTCTTCCGTAAATCTGTTAAACTTTTGCAGGGAAATAGGAAACAACAACAAAGCCCTGTTACCTTGGTTGTTTGTACAGAAGCAGAAGTATAATAAAATCTGTTGCCCAGTAGAGGGAGTGAAAGCATCACCATTACAGGTACCTCAAAATCTAACTTGTGGGTATGGAGTGATAATGTGTAATACACTCTAAAAGTAAACAAACTCTGTTGGTTTGAGGGATGGGGGACTATCTGATGGGCAATACTGTGGTAGCAAAAATATCTGTAGGTTGGTAAGTAAGTAGAAGCTTGTGCTTTACTACCTTTAACATAAATACTGTAATGGAACTACTAATCTAGCAGTAAAAAAAAAAAAGCTCTAAACGAATTGAAACCTTACAAAAATTAAAAATATTGGATTGTGCCTTTTCTCCATAGGCTTGCTTACTATTCTGTAATGCAAATTCAGATTTTTTTCAAAGGAGTTTTGCATTTGTTACCCAGATATAGCAAAACCTCCTAACTATAACTCAGGTTCTTTCAACAATATCATTACTAGATCCTTCTTCAGAAATTAAAATTTCCATATGGGCTGAATTTGGTATTCTGGGTCTCAGGCCATCAATAAAGAAATAAATTCACTAACTAAACTTCAGTATTACAAAATTAAAATTTAAGACTAGTGCTACAACAGATGTTTCAGGACAGAAGCAGTTGATATGCAAGGTTCTATGTATATAGCTTAGGTAGTTTTATTTCTTCTTTTAAAATTTTAGACTGAATACCGCAACAAATGTGAATTTTTGATTGGAATGAGTTTAAATCAAGAAGACAAAACTGTGGGTTGTCGCCTTGGCAAATACAAGGGTGGAAGCTGTGCTGTAGTGGAACCATTTGACACTATTCACATTCCTGCTGTTGCCAAAAAGGTAGTGAAGGCTTTTCAAGACTACATAAGGTGAGAACTAAATTAGGCTGAATGGCTTACCCTGAAAGATTCGTAGATACTAAGGTCAGAAGGGACCATTATGATCATCTAGTCCGACCTCCTGCACAATGCAGGCCACAGAATCTCACCCATCAACTCCTGTGAAAAGGTTTTTGCCGTCTTAAATATTTTGAAATATGTACAAAATGAAACATTTTGAAGAGCTGGATGGTTATTTTGAGAACTGAAACTTAAGTAAATTGGTTCCATTCTGTAGCAACTCCTTTATACTTCGTTTTTACACATGGCTCATCATGTGTTATTTGTTTTATTTTATTTACTTTTATTGAGCTTTTTAAGTGTGTTCAGCACTACGCAATACATAGAGGAAGACCGTTACTGCCTTAAGGTATTTAGATCTAAGATGGACAGGCAGTACTAAATCAAAATATTAAATGGCCCAATCTCAAAATAGAGCAAATATTTTGTTTTAAAGTTTTCTTATGTTCTCATTGTAATTGGTCGATTAATGTTAAAAGGATTTACAGAGAAAAGAGTTTTAACGAGGAATTTGAATGACAGAGGGCAATAGTTTGGCATACAAGAAAATGGGGGACTCTTCCACATGTAAGATCAGCCTGAAGGAAGGCACAAAGATGAAAATATGAGACTCCTGAGTAAGGAACAGTTAGGAAAAGGGCAAAAAAAGTTTTTGAAGAAATGAAAATAGAGATGTGGGCAGAACCCTGAAGGTAAAAATGAGACGTTTGAAAGGGCAATGATGTGATCTGAACGTTGAGAAAGGAAGATACTTGTATCTGTATTTTTGATTAAGTAAAGAGTGTTAAGTGAGAATCATGAAAACCAGAGAGGAGGAAGAGGTTGAATTCATTAGGGGAGAGATGATCAAGGCCTGGATCTGAGTTTTAGCCTTAGGGTATTGCGATTGGGTGTATAGATGCTTCAAGGGACCTCCCTTGCAGTCTATGGGCAGGCTAACAACAACAGAGATAAAAGGCTGCAGCCCAGTCAGAACAGACAAAGCCACAGTGAAGGGGCTCCATAGGGCGAGACCTGAAGAAGTCATCCAGAGGAACCCTGTTCATACAGAAGGGATCAGAGAAGATTACCAAGCAGGAGGTATGTTCAAGGCCCTGAATTAGGAAGCATCAAGAGATTTAAACGAACAAGCCACTGAACCACCCAGAGTCCCTGGGATACAGAGGAGAGAGCGGGTCTGGGTCCCCTACCACCTTTATACAGGTGGGTGTAGGACTGCTGAGAATCCCGAACTGAGTGGTAACAATAACAGAAATATTGGACTTTGGCTTTGTGTTCCTGTTTTAACTTAGTTTATTTCTGTCCTGTTGAAGAAAGAAGGGAAGAAACCCATAAAGGGGGTAGCACTGGAAAAGGGGTTAGGAGAAGCCCTGAGGCAAAGGGCCAAACTTCTGGGACTATCGAGCAATGGTCTGCTAAAGGGGTTGGAAGAACTTCGGGTAGAGTCAGACTCCTTTCAGTCCCAAAAGCGGAGAGACATAAGCAACCCAGCTAAAGGATTGGAGTTATAGATGAAGATTGATAGATATAGGTTCCGTCCCTGAACGAACTAAGCCAGACTGAGGCAGGGATAACCATAGTTCTGTGGCAGACCACCATAGGGTACTACAGGCCAGAGCTCCCTCAGTTACAGGTATATTTTGCAGATGTCAACAAGGGTCAAAACTAATCTTTTGATTTTAATAACAGCTTATTTTCTTCTACCTTATTGTATGGTGGAGTTTTTTACTTATGTGAATTATTAAATATTATGCAGAATTTGCTCTTCTATTCAGTAACTGAACTTTTGAAAATTGCAGGTCAACCCCTTACTCTGTGTACAGCCTAGAAACCTACGAAGGTCACTGGAAACAACTCACAGTCCGCACCAACAAAAATGGTCATATCATGGCAATTGTTTATTTTAATCCTCAGGTACTGAAGCTTTATATAATATAAGAAAACCCTCTGAATGCAATGGACACTTGTTTAATGAATTAGCTGATTCTCAAGCAAAGTTCTCTGATAACAGTACTATATTACTTGTATTTAATCTGATAATTATTGGTGGGCCATGGTATATATGTTGTTCATAACTATTCTACCTCTTAATTACAAAGCCTATGGATTTTTTTAAAAGAAAGTTCAGTCAGTTTGTCTGAAAATTATAAATTATCTGAAGACTTTCTTCTTCATGGTCATGTCTCTGGGAAATGTTATTTTGTGCATGGAATCCCTGTGTGGGGCAGGGCTCTAAGATCTGACATATAAAAATTAGGTAAAGCATGACCATGTATTATGTATAAGAGTGTTACAGGTAGCAACATCTACAGTTAAGGTTGTGCTGTGCTGCTCATTAAAAGTCCCCCACCCCCTTTTTTTTTTTTTTTAGTTGCTTATAACTTTACCATGCTTAAATGGTTTGGGCTGAAATTTTCTATGCCATATGTCTGCCTCAGACTGATTTGATTTTAAGTTTTAGCTAAAACGATTCAGCTACTTCCAAGAACTAGTCTAGGGAAAAATGAGTTTTGCCTATGTTTAAAAAAAATAAATCTTAAAACCATTTCATTGAGATGCTCTAGAGTTGACGTGCTTTGGAGCAAAGGTTTGAGATTTGGCAGGAGGTTCACCCTGGTATCGGGAATGTGCCTTTTGTCATCTTTGATGATTTGCTCAAATTTGTCCAGTTTGCAAGCTTCTGAAAAATCTCAGTTCACATATGCTCTCACAGCTCCTGCATGTCACCTGGACTTAACATGTGCATCCCCACAGAGCTATTGAGCATTCTTTATCTTGGGGCAAACAGGACTTCTGTAATTGCTCCTCTTGCCCCATGCCACTGGTGCCCTAACGGCAGCGAGGAGCAGCCTGACTCGAATACACAGGGGTGAGGAAAATGTGGACCGAGGAAAGAAGTTAAGAGCAGGAGGCATGAGGGTGGGGGGAATGTCAAGAGTAGATGGAGGCAGAAGACTGGAGTGGCTGATGGGAAGGCGCTGACAACAGGAGCAGGCATAGGAGGGGTAGCAGATTGGAGCAGAAGGAGATGAGGCAGAAGAGTCTAATAACTAGAGTCCACTCCCCTACAGAATCTAGGAGAATGTACAGAGGAAGGTCTTGGGCCTTTTACATAGGCCAGGCTGGAATAAGGATGTCCCACTAGTTAATGCCATTTGTAGCCACATGACTCTTATAAAACCCAAGCTGTGTCTGTTTAATGTCCCATACAAAATAATACAGTAATTAGAGTCACTGTTTGATATCTTTTCCGTATATAAAATATTTGCTTCTCAATACACAAACAAATGAATAAAACTGAACAGAACAAATACTAAATTAAAGTGTTGGAAAATAACTAAACACACAATAATCTCATCTTCCTTTCAATGGAACTTCTAGAAATTAAGTAAAGAAGAGCTTGTTGACCTGAGAATCTCACTGGCAAAGTACTTTACAGAAGAAACTGGAAAGGACAGTGGGGTAACCTCTCTTTACTTTGTAGAGGAAGGGCAGAGGTAAGTTTTGTACCTGTAAAGGAAATCTTAAGTGGCATTTCTCCTGTAACTACCACCCTGCATAGTAATTAATATAGAATGAATAGCAGTGTCATTATTATTTTATTGCTAAATTATTGACATTGTCCATGGAAGAGACTCCTAATATTTTATGGTCTTCTGCATTATAGCTTGTTTCTCTACTTGTGGATTAGGTGCCCTTTGTTTATTGGATAAAGGCAGTTAGAGCTTTGTATCTGGATAAACCTGGCCAGTTAGGGGCTGTCACAGGAGGGAGGATACCTTTTTAATTTTGTTGTGGAGAACCCAGGAAGAAATTTTCTGGGACACTTCTGCTCTCCCCACCTCCTTCCTTTCTTGCCAGTTTCTGTCTGGTTTTGCTCTCTTCACCTCTGTCCTTCACAATCTCTCTTCTTTTGCCTGAGGACCCCATTTTATTTTTCCAGAAACACTAAATGCCTCCTCTTCTGCCTCTATACCGTGGCAGATGTACCCTTTGAGAACAGAAATTGGACAGTAAGACACAACTTTTGGTCTTAAGATATTTTACAGCTTTCCTTAAAAACAGCCTGTGAATTGTTTTCATTTACAATATTGCAGTTTAAGGCTAAAAAATAACTTTCTGAAGACTCTGAATTAAAGAATTTAAATGCAATTATAATTTAATCATTGCATTGATAGGTCTCATCCTGTTACAGTGAAGCACAGTAATTGTACAATATTGTAAAATCAGCTGTGTGTCCAACTAAATTATTCTTTAATAACTTTGCTAGGCTTCCTATGTGTGATAATAGTGATGCCCAATTCTCACTAGTAAAAGTAGAAAATCAACATATGTAAGGTCAGAAACCAACATACTTTTGTTTTTAAAACTGTTGTGTGTGTCTGCGTGGATTAGTTTTTGGTTTGTTTTTTTTTAAGGTCCCGTTAATGTGGTTGTAGTGTCCTCCTTCCTTCCCCCCCCTTGAATGTGTCTGTACTATAAGTGGCCATGGCTAAAACCTGCTGTAATGTGTTTGGTGGCTTTTTTCTTTCAGAAAATCACCCAATCGTGAAGACTTGCCCTTACAACATTTGGCTGGTGATAAGTACATATATGAAGAGCTTCTTGGTCTAAAGTTTAGAATTTCCCCCCATGCATTTTTCCAAGTAATGTTGGTATTGAATTTTGCTAAATTAAATTGTATTAGAGCTGAAGTAATAAGATGGATTGCTTAAATTACTGCATTAAGATTTTTAAACATTTTCTAACAGATTTTTTGGCTAAGAACAGTAAGGTGGCTAATACTGCAGAAAAAATGCTGCCTGGACAAAGAGGCTGCAGAAATATACTGAGCGATCTAATCTCCATAATTACATAAATCTGACGTAGCTGAAAATATTTTTTAGTGGATGAATACCGGTTTTTGCTATATTAAATATTTAGTTCCAGCATTTTAGCTGAAGTGAATGTTTAATGGGTGTTTTTATTTTTGTTTTTTTTTTTTTAACTACTTTGGTATCTGACACATTCTGTGTTAGCAAGCAGTCTGTGAATAGAACAGAAGAGAAGGTTACTCACCATGTGCAGTAACTGAAGTTCTTCAAGATGGTTGTCCCTGGGGTGCTCCATTTTAGGTGAATCTGTATCCTGCACCTACGATCGGAGAATTTGAGTAGCAGTGCCCGTTCGGGGCACACATGCGCTGTCCTTGTCTCACGCCATCTCTGGCGGTTACCTAGTGCTGTGTGACCAAACCCTTCTTGGTTCCTTTTCTGCCGCCCTTGGCTTTAGACTGAGCGATTGGCAGTGCCTCCGAGCTTGCCTTTATCTTAAAAATTAGATTTAGCCTGAGTAGTTATAGAGCTCAGTTACTCAGTTTAGCTACCCTTCTCTTCCCCGTTTATTTTTCTTTTTTTTTTTTTAAAAAAAATTCTTAATAGATTAGCTATTTTCTTTATTATTCCCAGTTACCCCTTAGTATAGTATACATATCTTCCCTCACGGGGGGAAACGTTATTCTTAGGGGCATGCCCAGATCTCCAGGTTTTAAATGCTGCCTAACTTGCCAGGCGTCAATCCCGCTCTCTAACAGACACTTGTAGTGTGTCCTCTGTTTCAGCGAGACATTCGTTCTGCAAAAGTGTTCCATTGCCATACTCTTAAGACTCGTGCACCAGAAAAGCGAGGAACCTTAAGCTAAAACTTCTTCTGATGGAGAAGTCTCTGCACCCAGCTTCCGATCTAGGATTATGGACTCCTCCTGGACATCGCTCTCCAGCGACAGCATCTGACAGACATTCCTTATCACCCTCATAGAGGAAAGAACACCATTCTAAAAAGGTGGCAAAAAAACTGGTACTGTGACAGCCAAAGACCCTAAGTGGGCAGGTTTGGAGAGGAGCAGCAGAGGGAAACTTACCCTCCCTTCCAAGGTAGTGCTGGAGCCACTCAAACATGCATCATGAAGCAGCTCAGAAGCACTGCTGTCTATGGCGCCACCTTCTGCCTCTATAACGCATAGCGTGCAATCATCAGCACTGAAAATCTCATTGGTGATGCCAACAACTTCCTCGGTACCACAACAGTCTCTCTAGCACAAAGACCTGCTAGTCTCTTCAGCACTGGAATCTCCTCAACTCATACTGATGTTACTCCAGCATGATCGGTACCATGTCAAGTTACACCACCATCCAGAACAACTCCTCCCTTCTCCAGCAATGAGGAGGATGATGCGGAAGGGGAGATCTACTCATCATGCCACTTCTTGCCCATGCAGACAGCCACCAGATTGGGTCCACCAGAACATATTGAATACCACCCCATGACTGAAACGCATGGGTGGTATAGACATCCAAGGATATCACCACCAATGCCATTCCCGCCACAGTAGTTCAACTGGGATCCATGGGTGGCATACTGACAATGCTTCTCTAAGCCTTCCAGTACCCACAGGGGGGGTGAGCGAGAGAGACCTTTTCCCATCACCCTCAATACCTGGACCTGCTGATCCTTTGGAAGAGGTGATTGAAGGGCTGGAAGAGACTTCAGATCAGGAGATCACCTCAGCTACTAATTTCTCCTCCTCCTCTCCGGACGAAGCAGTCTTGTCCCCACCATCCACGACGGGTGATGATTTTAAACAATTCCAGGAGGAGTTTAAGGAGATTGTGGACTCGTTAGAAATACCACTGGAAGAAGTTGCAGAGTCTCAACACAGGCTGTTGGACATTTTATAAACGTCAACTTCATTCAAGGTTGCTCTCCTTATAAACGAGGCACATAGATCCAGCCAAGACCATCTGGCAGACTCCAGCAACACTTCCACCCACTTGTAAAAGAGCAGACAAAAAAATACTACATTCCCTCCTAGGGAATGGGATTTTTTTTTTTCTTCCAGATCCCACACCAAACTCTGGTGGTAAAGAAAAGGAGTACTTGTGGCACCTTAGAGACTAACCAATTTATCTGAGCATAAGCTTTCGTGAGCTACAGCTCACATCGGATGAAGTGAGCTGTAGCTCACGAAAGCTTATGCTCAGATAAATTGGTTAGTCTCTAAGGTGCCACAAGTACTCCTTTTCTTTTTGTGAATACAGACTAACACAGCTGTTACTCTGAAACCTCTCTGGTGGTAGAGGATGTGAATGAATGGGGCAGACAACATCAATCCAGATGTACCCCATATCATAGGAACTGGAAGTGGTTAGACCTCTTTGGGCCTAAGACCTACTCAGCAGTGACCCTACAATTCAGAATTGCCAATTACGAGGTACTGATAGCCAAATGTGTAACCACTCAAATTATTTAAAAATGTCCAAATTTATTATCTATCTCCTTTAGGACAAAAAAGAGCAATTTAAAGCAGTCATCTTGGAGGGCCACCTTCTTGCTCAAACAGCCTTACAAGCCTCACTGGACTTGGCAGACACAGCGGCACAATCCATCGCTACATCCATAGTCATGCACTAGGCTTCCTGGCTCCCCATCTTTCTGAGTTCCCCAAAGAGATACAGTCTACAGTGGAGGATCTCCTATTTGAGGGACTGAAGCTGTTCACAGCTAAGACCAAGTCGCTTCACACCCTAAAAGATTCCAGGGTGACTCTTTGGTTTTTAGGCATCTCTACACCTACACAGAGATAGAAGCAAGGGAAATATTACTCATGGCAACGAACAAGATCTGTGCCATACGTACAACCACCGAGGTAATATGACCCACAGAAACGTAGACAGAGGGCTACAAGGAGTAGACCACTCCCATCTCAGCCATCCCAGCAATCCCGCTCGAAGCAGCAATTTTGAGGGTTTGGTTGAGGACCCGAGATGCCTCCCCCGTTTTCAAGTGCTGGAACCACCTACAACCGTCCATCCTTTTGGAGACCGTCTGATCCCATTCCACCCATCGTGGCAGAGCATCATGTCAGACAAATAGGTATTAGAAATCGAGACTAGCTATTCAGTCCAATTACTCTCCATCTCACTATGCAGGTTTGTCGATCTAGTCAGTCTGATCACTACAGCACAAACCAGCCCATAGACATTGGCCAGGACCTGCCTCCAACTATTAGGCATCAGCCCACAATTTCACAGAGCACTGTGCAATAGAGCAGAACTCAACATCAGATGCTCTGCTGAGACTTACCGTTTTATCATCCTTCACAAATTCAACTCTGAAGCCCTTTCCTCCCAATGAGGGGCACTGCTCTACAATCACCTAAAGTAGAGCACCCACAGAGACACTCGAAGAAGAAGGGACTGTTACTCATCCAGTGCAGTAATTGAGGTTTTTCGAGGTGGTTGTCCCTGCGAGTGCTCCACTATCCACCCTTCTCCCATCTACTTCGGAATTTCCTGCAGGGACTCTGTGGTAGAGAAGGAACTGGGGTGTGTGTGGGGGAGGTTGGTCTCAAAGCGCTATGTAAACATCAGAGATGACGTGAGATAGGGTCAGCACATGTGCGACCCAAACGGGCACTGCTACTGAAAATTCTCCACTTGCAGGTGCAGGGATGCAGATTCACCACAGGGACGCTCCTTGAAGTAGTAGAGTTGCCAGTTGGGAAATACACTACAAATGTTGTATTTCAAATAATTTTCTTCCAGCAAACACTTAAGCCTCAACAAATGCTTGTCTGAAAACACAAAAGAGGTAATGTTCGTTTAACAAAACATTTGGAGGAGAGGGGAAATAAAGTGAGTGCTAGCATTAGGGGAAGGAGAATATTCTTCACCTTAGTTTGCATGTAACTTCCTTGAGAAACTGGGAATGACACATGTGCTTTAAGGAGATCTTATAGTTGTGTTTTTATTCCTCACTTGAGATCTTAAGCTATTAAGTTCTTACCTTCTTCTTAATGTAGACCATTTTTCTAGGTTAGAGGTACTGACCTGGACAACTTCTTTCCTGACCCTCCAGTCCTGATTCCATACCTACACTTGGTTACAGGAAAAGTAATATTAAGGCAGGCAGCATTAATGAGACAAGGTGAAAATAAATTCACTTTGTGATGGATGTAGTTGCATGGGTATGTCCTCCTATTTCTGTATGTGGAGTATTTTTTTTGTTTTGTTTGTTTCCTCTCCCTGGGTAGGAATTGCCATTTAACACAGATTTGTCCCTTCATTGCCTGCAGTTTGGCCCTGTTCTCCTGTGTTTGCTGTCCCCTCTGATTTCGGTGTACAACAAACACGACTTATTTATTTAGTGCCTTAAGCGTATGCTGTATTACATGTTTGAATTTACACCAAAGCAACATCCAAATACGTGAAGGGGTTATATAGGGTTTTTTTTTAAACTTTGTCAAAAACACCTCTTGAAGCCTTGAATAAGTCCTGGTCTGTTGGGCCAGTTGTGTATCTTGCTGTTGCTAGAGATAAACTTTGATTTGCTATCTCATGCTGTCAGTACAATTCTGCTTTGAACTTTATATGTAAAGTTGGCTTATTTTAATAAGTGTTAGAGATGAGGAAGGGGAAAGCACGTTTTCATATAAGGGACTTAATATTGTTTAAATACAATAGTTTTTTGTATTTATAGGTTATATTACCTTCGCTGTTGTAACAAAGGGGAATATTTGTGTTGGAATTCCATAGGTAAATACACAGGCTGCAGAGGTTCTATATAAAGCCATTAGAGACTGGGCCCAACTGAACCAAGATAGCACTGTACTTGATATCTGCTGTGGAACAGGAACAATTGGAATTTCACTGGCAAAGGTGAGCCATATGCCTTAAATGTATTATTCAGCAAGTCATAAAATGAACTTGAAAGTTAAGTTGCAGATCTCTCATATTGCATTTAACTGAGGAAAATGCTTAAATCAAGTTATTGCACTTTGCTATTGCCAGTGCTTTAGGAAGTTGACTTAATTCTGGACATAAATAAATACTTCCCTGCTAGATATTCTGGCTACATTTCCTTTATTAGATTTGAAAAGTCCCACATAACTTAATTTCAATTAACTTCGTAGCAACTGACACAACTTTCATTGTCAAAAGTACATGAAGGTGTAGTTCATATTTTTGAAAAGTCACTGGGAAAAGGACACTTTATTAATTTTGCCGGTCTCTGCATATATTCAAAGACAGATCTACTTTAGTGACCGTTTATCTCTAGAAACAATACTGCTAAAACTGACTGAGCTGGACTCTCTTCCATTTTGTGCACCAACATAATTATTTACTAAGTCCTAATCAGTTACATCTGTGGAAAAGCATTGACAGCTATAGAGATGTGCACACATAATTGAGAACCTAATTTAGTCGTCATAATTTCTTATTACTGGTAATTATGCACACAGTGGAAAGAATTCAGTTTCACTCTAAGGCAGAATTTACAGGGCTGGCAGTGAGGGAGATATATATTTAAGAATAAATTGAGCACGACTAAAACGTCTGCCTATATGTGGAGGTGGGGAAGTCAAAGGAAGTCTTTCCATCTATCCTGATCTATTGGACAGTCTGAGGGCTTGTGTAGAGGAACAATTGGTGCACAGCAAGTTGATGTAAATCTACACCGCACTAGCATGCTGGGCCCTGTCTGAGTAGACCGGGGTAGCCAATCTGAGCCTGAGAAGGAGCCAGGCTTTACCAATGGACGTTGCCAAAGAGCCACAGTAATACATCAGCAGTCCCCCATCAGTTCCCCCCAGGCTCGGGGAAGGGGTGGAGTGGGGGATGGGCCTGTGGCAGGCCAGGGGTTGAGCAGTAAGCACCCCCCCGGCACATGGAAAGTTGGCGCCTGTAGCTCCAGCCCCAGAGTCAATGCCTATACAAGGAGTCGCATATTAACTTTTGAAGAGCCACAGGTTGGCCACCCCGGTGTAGACCCTGCTACTGCGGGTCCCTAGTTTCCTCGTGTGCATTGATCTGTTCTGCTTTGAAATGAGTAGATTACACAATATTGAACTTTTAGAGCACAGGAGCAGTGTCCACAGACAGCGCACTAGCATGCTGTGCACTGTAGATTATACCCCAGCTTGCTGTGTACTGTCTGGTCATCAAGACAAGCTCTAAAGATACCCTACTAGTTTACTCACCACTTGCTTTATTTATTTATTTATTTATTTATTTAACTGCTGTAAAGGTAGTGCTTTTTTCTTCATCAGGTAAACCGAGGAAATGAAATTCTAAAGCCTGTGCTATGGCAGGAATCACTGATGCATGACAATCACCCTCAGTTTTCCTCCAGTCTGGCACTTGTGTCGTCAAGCATGTGTCACACCCTGTTGGACCCATTGATGTTTTTTCTTTGATTTCACAGAAAGTGAAGAAAGTTATTGGTATCGAACTCTGTCAAGAAGCTGTGGAGGATGCCAAAGTGAATGCCCAAATTAATGGTTGGTAAAGTTGTGTGTGTAAATGCTAGGATCTTTGTTTATGTAGGAATATAAGAGTTAAGCACCTGACTTCCATTGAATTTGCCTAACTTCCTTATTTTCATCTGAAAATTCCAGCCTCAATTAATTACTTGAAAGCTGTAATTATTTCCATCAAATATTTCCATTGATAAAAATCCACTGACGTTAATAGTCTTTTGAATACAAATTTAGTATCTCTTTAAATCAAGGAAATTTACCTAGTTTAATTTTAAAAATCCGACCTCGGAGACTCCCAGGAGGTGCCAGGTGTATTGTTATTCTGTATGTGTGTGAGACATAGACCCTTACAGCAGAACTTGAACAGAAAATACAGGTGGTAGAGATGATACTTTTGTAAAATTCTGGGCATCTCCTACTTCAATCATGTCACTAATAAAGAGTTCTGCAACATCATCACCCAACACGCTGGGTCAAATGAAGACCTGACGACCGTGAAGACGCGCAAGCTGAAGTGGTGTGGCTATGTAACAAGATCATCTGGCCTATCCAAGATCATCCTCGAAGGGACAGTAACAGGGGAAGAGAAGAAGAGATGGATTGACAACATAAAAGAGTGGACAGGAATGAACTTCGGAGCCTCAAGCACTGACAATCGTCAGGGGTGGAGACAATTGGTTGATTGCTTATCAATGATGGTGCCCCAATGACCAATGAGGTTATAGGAGTGATGATGATGATGAAGAATTTTTAAAATAACTTAAGCAATATAATCAGCAAATTGCTCATTTAACAACATTGCCTAACACTATGTACCATAACGTTTAATGATGGCATATTAAAGACTGAGAACTTCCTTGACACAGAATTTTAATGCAGGATTACAAAAATAATTCATATTTATGTTGATTTTCAAGTTGTATATTAGCTCTCAGGCACAATAATAGATTATTTAAACACAATAGCTTTAGTATGTCTGCTTGAATATTATACCGATGCCAGTTCCTGCAAAAGCTAATCCACAGTTTGTCCCAAGGCATCAAATATTGGCATTTCTATATGCAAAATACTATAAGAACAATTTAGCTAGTAACTCTACCTACTTATGTGTGCACACTAATTAAGATGTTTTGATTATACTGAAATTTCACATCAGTTCTTTATTTTTATATTTACCTTTCTCAGATTTGAATAACATTGAATTTCACTGTGGAAAGGCTGAAGACGTTGTTCCTTCTTTAATTAACTTATTAGCATCACACAACCTGATTACAATTGTAGATCCACCTCGGGCAGGACTACGTAAGTTTATTTACTTAGGTCTTATTTAACGGATAATTAGTTGAATGGTTTTAACAGAATGAAATCAGTTAGCTGATTGTTGGGAGAAAACTTGAAACAGCCTTGTACTATAACAGGACAATCTTTATGCTCAAGTTGAAAGTTTGTTTTTCTGCAAATATAGTAACATACACTATTGGCAAACAACTTTAATTTGTCGCCTAGATTCTAAAGTCATTCTTGCAATCCGAAGAGCTGAACACTTGAAGAAGCTCATCTATGTATCCTGCAATCCCAGAGCTGCCATGAACAACTTTGTGGAGTAAGTTTTTGAATTGGCCAGGTAAAGCCAGCAGGCAGAATATGCTTCCTGAAAAAAGTGAGGCTGAATTCTTTTTGCAAACAAATAGATTAAGCATATTCGCTGTAGGATTGTATAGCAGTACTTGACCTTGCCTTGGGAGACCACTTTTGATTGTGTGATGGCAGGCTCTCCCAGCAGGACGGAGGAAGACTTACCCTCCAGTAGCTTGTTAAGTAGTAGACCTGAAATGTATGATCATCCTATGAGGCAAGGGCTTTTCCTAGAAAATGCAGACTGGTGTTCATGGTCCAGGAAAATTAATACTATACTTTGTTTTTCTCTTAAGTCTTTGTCGGGCCCCCTCCAATCGTGTCAAAGGAACCCCTTTCCGTCCAGTTAAAGCAATGGCAGTGGATCTTTTCCCTCAGACTATGCACTGTGAGCTGCTGATATTCTTTGAAAGGGTAGAACATTCAAATGGAAACTCTACTGAAGCAAGCCCTGACACAGCTCAGGTCATGAATACAAATACAACAGATTCTACCCAGGATGGCAGTATTGACCCACTTGAAGAGAAAGTAGGAACTCTGTCTTCTACCTAATGTTGTGGTAGGCTGGGCAGTTTGTTTGCGCACGTATGTGCATATATATTTTATACACTCAGGCAACCATCTTAACCTATTGATTTCCTTCTAAGAGGCAGAAGTTACTTTTGCTAGTTAAAGAATGTTGCAGTTTGAGGCATCAGCAGAAACACCATACAAGTTAACCTCTGTACAACATCCTAATTACCTGACTTCCAAGTGATGAAGGCTTTCAGTTAAGTATACTGACAGCAGCATTTTTCAACTCCGTGAAGGAAGATTAGTTTAACTTTAAGATGCTTAAAACAATCCAATTCCTACAAGGAAAATAACCTTATTACAGACAACTTGGATCAAAACCTGCTATTTTCACTCATGCACACTTATATTGAAGGTATTGGGACATCTTTCAGGAGTAAGGCCAGCATGACTTGACCTAAATATTCTGCACGTTCTTCATAAAATACTATCCAGGTATGTTACTAGGATTCAGATATGTGGATTCCCTCCAAAAGTTGACTGACTGTAGGATTTTTTTTATGCCCAAGAAATTTCTTTGTTTGAAGATGAGTGATAAATAGCTGAGAGAGAACATCACTTAATAGCCATCTGGCAGATGGGCAATTCTGTTGAACAGTAGACTTTTGCCTTGCAGACCACTTTAAATAAATTTGATTTTTAAAAGCATTGTTGAAATTTTCCTTAGCTGGGATGTTGGTTTGCATTGAAAAGTGGTTTGAGTTGGCAGTTGCAGGTTTATAATAAATTATTTGCATTAAAGCAAGCCTGATTTTTAGTTACTATTGTAAAAAGACTTTCCTGCTGCCCTGGTATGTAGACTAATTCTTTACTGTGGGGAGAGAGATTCTAAACTCCCTCTTCAACTTGCTTGTAATCTGAAAAATACATGAAGCTTACATACTCCTGGTAGAAAATGGACCTCTGTTTTGTGGTTCTGGTGGAGACAATGGGTTGCCCCCTTCAGTGGAAGGATCAATCACCCTCCTTAAGTGTGACTGTTCTGAGTTAAACTGGAGCTATGGGCCAAACTGATGATCTGATGTTTGAGATCCAATACAACTTCTAAGGGAGAGAGTTTTTCTTGTTCTGTAATAAAGCGAAAAGAGGACTGTATTCAGTGCTACCCCCTCCTATTTCAAAAGAGGAAAGATTCAGAACAAAACAAATGCACACAAAAATACTCTATTCCAGAGATGGAGGAGGAAGCTAACAGAACAGAGTTAACTTCCACAGCAGATTAATTCATATAGGGGTATAAGGTTAGGTTAGGACTGAAACTGTGGACCTTACCATGGTTAACTATTCCTCTAGCACCTTCAGCCCAGAGTGCTGTAATGTGAGCTTTCTTAGGCATATGCAATCTACACAGAAGTTTTATCTGACTCAGAGCATAGCTAACAGCTGAGGAAATTCTGTGCAAGGCAGAATTTGTGCAGAATTCCATTTTTTCCCCCCTGCAGAATTGGCAGTGCAGGGCTGCTGCTAGGAGCTGTGGAACCCAGCAGAGCCCAGCTCGCAGAGTGGCTGCATGGGAAGACTGGTTCCTGGGTTTGCTGGTCCTGCTCAGTCATGTGATGTGGCTGGGCCCTCTCCTTGCATGGCAGCTGCTGGAGCCAGCAAGCTGCATCCTGCAGGGAGAGGCAGGATGGGATTCCTGCTTTCCAGGAGGGGCAGAAACTTTTAAAATTGTGGGGGCCCTCCCCCCAGCAGCAGGTACAGGTCATCTCTGCTTGGCAGGACAGTAATAGCTATACAGAGCCTGTGGCTGGGCTTGCGGGGGGAGAAGGATGCAGGTTGCTGGGTACAGGCCCCTCCAGTAACCCTAAATATCCTTTCCCAGTATACATGCACCCGTCCAGTTCCCCCTCACATTATCTTCTATTTGGGAACTTGAAATATGGTAACTCTAGGGGTTCAAGGTGAAAAAACCTCCTAAGAATTGACTACAAGACTGGAGGGGCAGGCTCCTTCCTCCCCTCCTCCCGATATGCACAGCTGGGACATGTGACACACCCAGACTAAGGGACATGACAAAAGCATAACAGGAAGTGGCTTGTGGTAGGCGTTTCTTTAACTCTCTACTCCCAGGGGAATCATTTTTGTCATCTGTATTGTTAGACGTACTTGGACAAGTATTTTGAAATAAATTACTAAAATAATTGAAACAGGCATGATTTTGTTGTGTTTTGACAAATGCGCAGAATTGCTCCAGGAGTAATAGCTGCTTCTCCCAGGTGGAAGAAGTTGACCTGACTGCATTAACACGTGATTCATGCTACTTTTCAAAGTTCATTACAACTGCAACTTGACAGTGTTTTATGTTTATAAAGACATTAGGTAAACTCCCACTCACTAATGGGGCCAGGATTTTACCCCTGCACTGTTGAACACCTCACTGTTGCAGTAGCTGCAGCAGTGAGAATGAATGTGCTGTCTGTCATCTTCCCCCCACACCCCCTTAGAATTAATTCCCTCCAGTGATGCACAAGGGCTCAAGTTAAGTGACTGGGGACTTAAAGCAGTACACTCATTTGTATTTCCATAGCACCTAGGAGCCCTCAGTTGTGGACCATGACTCTGGTGATGCTAGGCATAACACTGTGCCTATGAACTCAAGTAGAGAGTCCACATGTGACCTATTCTTTTTCAGAGCTAGTGTTGGACTAGATCCTCTGCATCAAGCTATTTTAAGTGAGCTGGTCAGTAACATTAAAACTTCAAATACAATAACTTCTCTATCTACTGAAAAAGCCAAAAGCACATCAACAGGGTGATGTTACTTCAAGCCAAGTCCAGAATGTAAGAAACAGAAACATCAATAAAGTTCAATAACTTAATCAATTATCAACTTCTGAAGTAATTTATCAATTGAAGAAATCTAATACAGGCAATTTATCCTAAAGCTTACACATTTGTAACTGAAGTCTTATACATTTACATACAGAATACAAAAGAGGGAATGTAATGATTTATGCAGGGATGGGTTTTAGGTTGTGTGGAACTTCATTAATAAGCAGGGAAAAACTAAATCTCATCTCTGATTTGGGAGAGGGAAAAACAGTTACTTAACTTTTGTAACTGTTGGTCTTAGAATGGAATGGACATGAGAAACACATCTGTTGCACAGTCAGATTTTTGCCTTAACGGTAGCTGTAGGGGTTGTCAGTGGCACGCTCTGGAGTTCCGCGCTCATATGTCGGTATATTTAGGTGTTGCTGGCCCTATGCCCTCTCAGTTCCTTCTTGCTGACAACTCCAACTGAAGGGCAGGAAATGGAATGGACATGAGCAACACATCTTGAAGAACAGTACAAAAGATGAAGAAAAAACGGTTACCTGAGTACTTGCTCATGTTGATTCCATTCTAGGTGACTCTGAAGCAGTATCCCTGGAACTGGGCTTGGAGTTCATGATCCTGTGGTTTACAACAGTGCTCTACCAAAGCCAGCATCATCACAGGCCTGCTGGGTAAGTGCATAATGAGATGTAAACATGTGGATGGATGACCACGTCGCAGCCATGCAGATATCTTGAATTGGTCGAGGGGGCAGTTACAATCGCTGGTGGAGACACTTTTGTCAGATCATAGCAGAAATGGATGTAGGTGGTCATCTGTGATGGAATTCTCTGGGTGGACACAGGAAGACCTTTCATCATGTCCACCACCATGACGAAAAACTGTCAACTTATGGAATGGCTTGGTCATTTCCATGTAAAAGGCTAGCATTCTCCTGACATCCAGAGAGTGCAATTTACGCTCTTCTTCTGACTTACGAGGTTTTGGAAAGACAGGTAAGTATACATCCTGGCTTGTATGAAACTGTGAAACTACCTTGGGCAGGAAAGCCAGGTGTGATTGCTGTTGGACCTTCTCCTGGTAGAAGAATGTATAGGTTGTCTCTGAGGTAAGCGCCCTAATCTCAGAGACCCTGTGGGCAGATGTTATTGCCACCAAGAAAGAAACCTTCCAGGAGAGTAGAAGATGGGAGCAGGAAGCCAAAAACTCAAAGGGGGGAGCCAGGAGCTGCGGCAGTATGAGATTCAGTTCCCATGGCTAATGATGAGAGAGAAAACGGCTATCCACTTGTGAGGCAAGGGGAAGGTGCTCTGACCAACCATCATGGTAAGAAGGAAGCGAGAGGGCGTAGGGCCAGTATCATCTAAATATACCGATGCATGAGTGTGGCACTCTGGAGGGTGCTACTACCAACCCTATGTATACCATGAAGGCAAAAATCTCCAACTCTGCACATGGGTACGCGCACACACCTAGACATGAGCAAGCACTCGAAGAAGAATATCAGTGTGCCTGGCTAAAGGGTTTTCATTTTTATGAAAAGGGGCTAGTTTTACCATGAAAATGTAAATCAACATGTTACACCTGCTAATAAATGGTAAGATACTGATATTTGCATAACAAAAGCAGACTTCAGTTAACTTCAAAAGACCAGGTGGGAGACAGCTCAAGGAGAGGATTCCCACTCACAGACAGTGGCAACACAATACTATTAGTCAAACAAATCATTTTTATAATGTAATATCAAACTTTATTGCTTAAAACTAATTGTCTGAAAAAATACACATGTAGTACTCAAAGACCAAACACAAAGGCTTATATGATTGTGCAGGAAAAAAAGCAAAGCAGAGGTTCAGTGAGAATGAGGCTTTATAGTTGTACCAATTTAGCACTGGCATCAAGCAACTGCACTCTACAATTCATACAGCAACCATTGTTATCTACTTGGGCACATAAGAATGCATTATTCACTTTTCCCTTCTCAAATACCCATCAGAATACTGTTCACCTTTTATTTTGTCGAGAATGGCATTAGTTCTTGCACTTTTCTGATACTTAATCTAAAATTCTTCCCCCAGGAAGTTTGACAAGGCAATTACCTTTGTGAACTTTGCCCCAGAACCAAAATATAGTGCTTGTGTAGGATGTAATCAAGCTTTTAAAGAAAGAATACTTAGATGTTACAAGTGTGTATTGTATGTAAAGCCTAACAGTGTCATAGGAAAGTGGGAGTTTACATACAACAGCAAGAGTTTTTAAGCTTAATAGAGCCATTTCAAGCATCTGGGAACCCAACTATATCTCTTGCTTAATAAATATTTAAAGCTGAATGACTTGTGTTTAAATAGGTAGCCTCTGACTATTTCACTGGAAGTCACAGTAATTTTTCATTCAGTACCATAAAGATTTGAATGCACACTAATTTAACCCTTAAAGTCAATACACCACACTTCTGTCGAGAAGCACGATATGCAAAGCAGAATAGGTCTAATTCCCAAAGGATGGAACAGTTCTTATTAATACATTCCATCCCCATAAATATAACCACCTTTCCTAGGATAAGGGGGAGGATAAAGAACAAAGATCAGTGACAAAAGCAGTAGTTTTGCTTTATGCATTCATACAATCAAGATCTAAACCTTTACAGCTGGTTACCTAAAACACACGAGTTACAAGACAAATTTAGGGTACATCTTGAATCACACCTTAGTGTTCATGCAGAAGCAGAAATTAATGCAATGACCTATCCTCTATCACAGCAGCTCGTGCTTATGTGCAAATGCAAGACTGTTACACTCCAAACAATAGTAAACATTAAAACACAAGAATACTTCACAATGACAATAAACAGCAGTTAAGTTGTTTGTTCCAGCAGTTATTGCGCTTTATTTTCTGGACAACTCTCCAGTTAAAGGCTGCAGCAAGGTCTAATACCATCCTTTTAAAGAATGCATAATATGTGAGAGGCTTTGGTTCACAATGAAATATCTAGATGCTTTATTTAAGGGCAATGGTCACCTTACGATTCAGATAGTGGCAGACTGAGGTAAGACTAAAGCAAAAATGCTCAATACAGCAATCCTCTTAGAACACAATACAAATAAATTCCTAAATGAGGCATCTATGGATAATCTGCAGGTGGCCTGCAAAATATTGACATTCTGATTTTGGACAAAAGATCCACAGGGGTGATTTGTCTTTTACAGTATTGTCCAAGGACAGATTTTTTTTGCTAGAAAACACACAAACTGAAACACCACCTACTTACACAGTAATATATTTAGGCAAAGATATAAGCCCTGTCTTCATCAAAATCAGAGAGAAGCAGCAACTACTGCTTGTAAGTACTGCACCAATGTTACACATCTTTCAAAAGATGGAGATTAAAGCTATATTAAAAGAAGAGAAGCAGAGGCAGTACTTTTTAGATCGGTCACTTTTAAGAATAACGTCTCATCCTCCACCTATCCTTCTGTACTGAAAACAGGATTACAACTCACAGAACTCAAAAGCTGAATACGATAATGAAGATTGGGTGAGTTCTTATTTGCAGACACCTCTGAGCATATCACTTATAACAATGCAAATACAGAAACAGATGAGACTGATCTCAAATATCAGAAGCAATAAATTACAGAACTTTAGCTTGGGATCAAAAATTTAAGTTTTCTAATTTCCAAAATAGCAAGGCTGATAGTAAAGGTGTTAAAATCCAGTTGGCACGATCAGTCAGTATACTGCAGTATGCTGTACTCAGATTTCAGACATGACAACTGTCCGGACAAGTACCAGACCTGCAGCATTTATAAGGATTAAGAACTGTATCTCTGTCCCACCAATGATTCAGGGAGCATACAATATAGCAGTACTAATATCAGCTCTTGGATAAGTCATTGGACCCCTACCACCAAACTGGCTTCTTGCCATTTCCCCCCTTCTCAAGCACTAAATGGTTCCCCCTTCAAATCTGAGCAATTTACTGCATTAGCCAATAAGGTAAAAACCCTAAATAAAGGGGAAAAGCAGTGCTTTCACTACAACCAAAATATTTCTTCTGTGCATAACTTATTAAAGCCTCAGCAGATACAGTAAGTACTGCCCGTTTTCTAAGATTGTATTTCAAAAATGCTTGCATATTCATGTCCTTTTTCATCTTAATCAGTACACTCTATTACGGTCTTATTCTAGTCTTTTTTCTACATTGTATCCCAAATCTACGTTCTAATTTCCATTGCAGAAATTAAGTTTTTTAGTATTTGAAGAAAAATGTAAGTAAAAAGCCAGTAACAACTTTTTTTTTTTAATGTAAGATAGCTGCAATCAGTTAGTTTAGCATTTCCAAAGGCCAGGCCACAAGGAGAAATTGTTT